AGATACGTACACGGTAAAACAAAACAGCAATAGAATGAATAAAGAGCATCAACCGGCAAAAAACAAACAAAAATTTTTAATGGCCGTAAGCATTTGTCTGTGGGTATTCATAATTTCTTCTCTGATACTTTTAACATGATTGAGTGAGTGTAACTGACGTTATAGCCTATATTGCTGACTCGCTTTCATTTTCATGGGTGTGAATTAATCAATATTTTAAAAAATTGATTGCTCGATTACTCCGACGAAGCAAGTTTGTTTTTAACAATTTCATTCGTGGAATAAGATTAGAATATATGAGAAATTGATATTTGTGAACAATTGCTCTTGAATTAACTGATAAAATCGTTGTATTTTTGTCTGAGTAATCGTCAAACATTGACAGTATATTTATTAATAAATTGATATATACTTTACTTCGGCTAAGCGAACATTAAACATAGAATTTAACTAATTGTATATACCTCTGGATACCCCGAAACCACATCAAAAATGAATTGCTTGTAATAACTACCGTATTTTCCGGTGAATAAGTCGCTTTTCTAGACCCAAATGTTTGGCTGGGGGTCGGGTCGTCTTAGGCGAGTATGGTAATTTTCATTTTTTTGGTGTCGCCTTATATATTATTCAATTCGGACCATAAATTACCTTCGGCGATAGCATCCCCCACAACAGGGGTCACCAACCTTTTCGAGGCCGAGGGCTACTTTCTGGGTACAGATTAAGCCGCGGTCTACCAATTCAATGTACACTTCTAAAAAGTCGCAGCTGTGTGGCCATCGTTAGTGTGCTAAGCGTTAGGTTAGCAGGTTAGAATCCCATGCGAGGATAGCGAGAGGATTGCTGGACCCCTTGCCGCCGTTGGAATGACTTCCTTCGCCACACGACATGAAATGGTAACTGGACGAGAAGCCTTGGTTCGCCATATGGTTAAGCCGTCTTATCGGCTATCTTCTCCCCGGGATAAATATGTAAATCCCATCCTGTCCTTGGTTTATGTCAAAAATGTTGATTCACAAAGATAGGTTGAACAAAACAATGATCTCGTAAAATAGAATTGCTGTATGATTTGAATCATGAGCTTTTTCTGCCCGTATTGCACTGACCAGTGGATAGTTAGCGCGGTAGATTGCGTGACAAGCCGTGAAATATCTTTTCGCTTTGCCGTCGCTACAATCGCCCCACAAATGAGACACGCGCAGGCTGTTTTTATGGTGGTAAAAATATATCAACCCCCATTCATCGTGAAAATGGTGGGTTTTTCATCGTTTTTCTACCATTTTTCTTTGGAATCAATAAATGTATTATTGCTGCTCCACAAACCAACGGACAAGAAAAAGCGCGGGTTCGACAAACCAACGGACAAGAAAAAGCGCGGGTTCGTGGTAAGTGATATCAGTGTGATGTCATAATTGGAAGAGTGTTGATTGACCCGTCACATTACTGAGGTCAAATAAAAATCAGGTTGATAGCTACAGTAATTTATATAGTGCCATTCCCGATTCCCATATAAGTGTGATTTATACAAGAATAGCAGGACACAATTTATTTGATGTAGCCTACTCATAAGCGCCCTTCTTGGGCTTAGTTTGGAACAGACCTGCGGGCGACTCATATGGTATTTACGGGCGACTTGGTGCCCGCGGGCAACGCGTTGGTGACCCCTGCCCCACAACGTCCTTATCAGGTCAGTTTATGTACACATTATTATGTCTGCAGATTGCCGTGTTTGTTCTTATATATATGGTGGACGCAATCGCGAGTTACGTTGAACACAATTAGGTTGAAATTGAAAGACAGTTTGAATTCCCATAGTCGGTATGGATTGAATATTACGCCACAACAAACGTCAATAAAGGCTATTTTAACCAATGCGCAAACGCGGCGACCGCTCAGATCCGTGGCATGGTAATTTGACATTCCGATGTTGATGAGATTTTACTGCCCGTCTTATTGGGAGGTTATATGCAAAGACCCATATTTGCAGACTTAAAACTGGCCTCGTCTTATTTACCGGGTAGACTTATTCGCCGGGAAATACCGTATTTTGATTAGTACAGTGGCTCTCATACTTTTCAAATATCGTTACCTCATAAATCAAATGCTGGAGCACAAATTATCGAATTTTAAATTTGAACATAGCAATCCATAAAACAAAAACAATGTCTTGATTTAAATCTCAGTTGGAAAGGTCTCAATGTTTCTGCGATATCAAACGATCAAATTAGACTACATACAGCATCTCATATCATTGTCAATCATTAGCTTGTTTCGATATTTTGTTTTCAACAAGATAGGCAATCCGAATCCGCGATGATGAACCTTTCCCCGAGCGTCGACTTTCTTGTTTACTTCGTGACATTGACCAATCAGCAAGATGCAAAAGAGACGTAACAAGGCTCCCTTTTCGCATCCGCTCAGACACTTTTCTCACTCAGACAGATTTTCAGACGTGGTCGTAAATATTATCTCGTTTCCGTGTTTATGAACTCTATTCTTTAGTTTTCATTTGTGTTTAAAATTTAAATATAAATCAGATAATTGTTGTATGCGATGAATCATAATGATGGTTAAAAAACAAATACCCCATTTCGCAACCAACTCGCCCCATTTCGCGCCAACTCGCGAAACAACTTTTAAAATAAGCCCCGAAAATTTTGCAATGGTAAAGTATAGGAAGAATTTTTCGAGGTCAAAGGTCGGGGAAAGGTCCATAGGCGAATAGCCTACTAACTTCTACATGCCAGAAAATGAAAATATTTTGATTCATAAAATTGTGGTCAACAACTCAATTTTTAACTATTATACTATTGCTTACTGTTCATTCTAATCCGATTTTAAGATGTTAAAGTTGCGCTTGCATGGCGTTTAATACTTCAATCCGTACTGCAAAGCATTAATTGATATTATGTCGCCACCACGCATACACTTTGGTTTTTTCTAACCGCATGACCAACTACGTTCTGATTTCATCTGAATTATCCTCTAAAAAATAGCAAATTAGTCTACCCCAAGAGGTAATTACCTAGAGTTTTGGGATCACTAGAATAGGATTTTTATGTTAACTAAAGCAAAAATTGATAAGACAGCTCAATAATATGGCGAATCACGATCTCTCGTACGATTACTAGTCTACCGGTTCATGTATGATAACAGTTAACCAGTTCATTGTTTCAGACGCATGGACCAGACAATGGAGGAACAACGTCAAAGTCCTTCAACGGGTTCAGCACATGATTATTGTCTGCGTGATTCTAATCTTTGTACGGTATTCGCGTAAGATGAAAAGCGTGTTCTTGACATAAAAAAAAATTATGCATGCTTTTGATCTGTTCAAAATAGTGTGCTAACTGAATTTTTTATGTGGTATCACGAAACTGGCAAGTGCCAATTTCAATATAAAATTTGCCTCGCGGGCATCATCTACCGGTTATAAAATCTTGTGCAAAATATTTTAATCTGTGGCATCATCTCGCGGCTGAACCATTTCCATATGAAATTCGACCAACGCGCGACCGCCACTAAATGACATCAGTAGAGTGTTCCTATTCTTGAAGTAAATAAAATGATTTAGTCAAAAGTTTTAATATATTTTGTCAAAACTTTATTTTTTTATGAGTTCACTAAGAGTATATATTCAATAAAATAATTATGTTTTTATCTCCAAGATGATAAAATGTCCTAAATTCAGATAAAAATATGTAAATAATGAAGGTGAACATGCAGCAACGAACGAGCGTTTCTCCTCTGGCGCACGCTTTTGTTTTGCCACAGGCGCCTAAACATCGCAGTCGGCTGCGAAGTTCGTGGCGTTGATTGACTTTTGACGCGATGTTTCTGTCTTTAATTAACACATTATGTCGGCCGTATGATTCGTACAACAGAGAGAAGAAAAGCGACATATTAGGACATTGTGCGTTATCAGTTGAATACGCCAGCAGGCCACAGCAAGGTTGCGTGTTTGAGTTGTTTCGATTTTTCATCATATTTCAGGGGATTTTTCCACGTTTCGATCAAGGTTTATTAAAGAAAAGCATGTTGTAATCACGCGTTGTGGTGTTTTTCCGGTTTTAGTATCACGTGGGACAATCCCCAAATATAGAAACAACTTTTTTTACCATTCTGCCAACAAGTGAACAACCAACATCAGCAAAATTTGAAAAGGGCCGCTGGGTCTTCATTTATATTGCTGTTGCGAAACACAGAAATATGTTTGGTATCGTCTGCCTGCCAGCTGCACGGTTTCATCGCTTGGCAAACTGAAACCTAAATGTGGAAATTGTGTTTGCACAGTTCAGTATAGTCTACATACAGACATACCTCGGGACAAACGAATTCATTTTACATTCTTATCTGACGAGTATTTTTGGACTATAGGGTATATTTTTGAAGTGGTTCAGCCTTGTTATTTTGCTATTACAGCATTAGGTCTGGTGTCTGAGTTTTGTTAAAGTATGACAGCAAGGGAATAAGTGTAATTCAATTTACATAACCCAATAGACAGATAGATACAAAATAGTGCTATATTATAAATTGGTCATGGCAATGCAGGTCAAAAAATGTAAGCTAATGTTTGATTTCTGAGCCAAGTGAAGTGATTGAAGTCATATTGTTAGAGAGAGTCATCTTTAGGGAATTTTTATAAAAATCTGGGGCATTTGTCGGGGTTTAGATGGTAGTTTTTCTCCATCATTTATTACAGAAAATATAAATGGAGTTGAAATTTTATGGAATAAAATTTCAGAGTGGCCACTGTTTGTTACTTATTTAGTAAACTTAACTTTGCCTTTTTAAATTTGGGACTTTTGAATTTAAATTGCTTGTTTTAACTGAAGACACCTGTATATTTTTAACCTATAAATGGTTGGAATACTTTCAGTTATGCTAGCATTTTAACTTTTACAGAAACACAATTTTTATTTAAATATGATCAAATTTTGTTTCAATGATATTAGGCTATCATATTTGACTCGAATTATGACATCACAATTGTTACTTTAATATTTTAGATGCTCTAAATCATATGTTCCATATAAATTGTCCATAGCAAGAGAAATATATTTATCTTGTGGAGATTTTTGTACTGTCGAGTGTCAAAATGCCGCTAAACTTGGACTCCGGGTCCTACGGACTCCGCCAAGCGACGTCATCAGACAAGACTGTACTTTTAATGAAATTAACGGACACTGCTCTGAGGATCATCGAGTCTTATCAGGACAATTCGGTATTTATGATTTATTTTGTTGCTTTTTGGTTATGTTTATATAAAACCAGTTATAGAAAGGTATGGAGTTGCTACAGTACCAGTTATGAAAGTATAAAGTTCAAGAAGAATGCTAATATATTAAAAAAAATTTCAACTTTTTGTAGCTTTTTTGAAAGTTTTACAATTTTGAAAATTTTTCTCATTTTTTAAATGTTGAGAAAAATCAACTTTTGATTTTTATATCGCAAAATTTACATTTAATAAATAAAAATAATATGAACAATCGTAGCAATAAAAGCAAATTCAAAGCAGAAAATGGGAATTGAAAATGTTTTGATTATAGCCTAGGAAAGGCATTGACTTTAACATGATTTCATTTTAAAAATTTTAATTTTTTGAAATCAACAACATGATTTTATTTTTTGTATAGTTACCGACAACTTTTCATTTACCAGTAAAAATATAATAATAGAAATATTCAATGTAGTTTATGTGAACAAAATTTTTTTTGGTTTTGGCAAAGTTTATGACCTGAGCATTATATACATCTGCAAGTTTCGACATATTTACAGCATTTCTTTGTCAAGTTGTCTTTTTCGAACTAACTTTGATCACACATTCACCTAAGGGTACAATTTATTGCTCATAAACCGGCTATTATGTCAGACTTAATTGCCATGTCTGGTATAATTTATTTTATTACCTTTTGGTTTATAATTAAAACTTGATTGTGCTAAATGTGCGGATGCGAAATATTACAAATATTATAGACAAGTATGATAATTTTAAATTTTAGCTAAATTAATGACATTTTTTATTTGTCGAATTCCTGCTGCAGAGTTTCTATGTCAGCAATCATTTTATATTTTTATTCTGCGGTCACTGACACTTATGAAAGTACTACGTACTTCAGTTTATTTTTATATATTCTGGGATGAATATTAAACTATAATATATATTGAACTTGTTTCTATTAATTTACTGAATTTGGGAGTCTTTATTCCGCGAAAAATGAAATGAAATATAACATAATATTTTGAATATAATTTGAGAATATTAGAATTATATTTTCGCTAGTCTTTCTGTGAAACATAGTGATATATGTACAGTGAATATACATATTATTAAAACGAATGATCTGTTTAAATATGTGGCTTGAACTAATGGAAAAATAAAACATATGATGTATTGTTTTAAATATGATTTTAGAATTTTATTTATTTTTTGTTTCTGCACCATAAGCATGAAAAAATACTTTTAATATCAAATGTGATTTGTTTAAAATTTACTTCAAGATAATAGTTTTCCTAAATAATTACATCTAGGTTTTACGCCCCTTTCTGTTTATGGAAAAATAAAATTTCATGATACGACTAAGCATGCACAAACAACCTATACAACTGCTCTTCTATTGTTAAATTGATTTTTTAAGATTCCATTTTCAATGAATGAAAGTGACAGGAGGTTATGTGTGACTCATCTCACAGTAAAATTTCAGTAATACATATTTACATGATGACAATTTATATAAAATCCCCGCGACTTGCTTGACTTCACGGAGGGGAATTTTTCATCATCACTCACAGTTCTGGTATTTTCCAGTTTTCAGACTACTAGTTGCTATTTGTATTTGTAGTTCATATGATTATAAATTAAATATTGACAGATATTTTAGGAAGTTATATTTTGAATATTGGAGTTTGTATGTATACTCACAGAAAGTTGAAAGTTCAAGCAGAATACATTACCATTCCTCAAACATTCAGAAAAAATTTCAAATATAGAATAAATTTAGAACTAAAATGTGTACAATGGAGAAATTTGCCCAAATCGTTTTGATCTGTTGGTGATTTAATTTCACAATACAGAAAAATGAAGCCTAATATTATTTCATATAATATTTATATTCTGCAGTTTTTTATGAAATAAATGAAGCGTTTTCATTACTGGTTGTCAGACATCATTCTCTAATTTTCTCTAATGGAAAATATTTGAAATAGGTGAAGAATTTAGTTAATGAAATATATCCAATTTTGAATGATATGAATATTCAAATTTGGTTATTAGTTCCCAGTATATCTCAACTAGGTTTGTTTCATTTTACTTATTTACCGGTAACCATTAGTTAGCGAAGCACATCAAAGTTTTTTTTTTACATTTAAAACAGGACTTTATGAACACCCAGTTTGTTTGTTCTTATTATACTTGGTAAAATCAAGTTATTTTTAGCAGAGTTCTTGGTGATTAAAAGTTGACTTAGGGTTCGAATAATTTGAATAAGCCAGTGACTCATGTATTCAACAGATTTCTTTAAAGCTGTCTGTCTGTAATCAGATGAACATGGTATTGAATATTGATGAGATGATAATCTGGCCATCTTAAATAACAAATCCATATATCGCCCTTTTATAAAATTTAATATTATGCATTTTGCAATATTCGAATTTGTAAAATCGAAAATGTCATGGTGTGACACTTTTGGTGGTGGCTTATTGGTTGAAGTGTTATACTCAACCAAGACTACATCGCTGATTAAAATTTTGGATTCATTTCCACCCCGTCAACCAGGTGTAATATATTGGGTTAGCATTTCTGAAACTGAAAGATACCAGCCCTTCCAAATAAACTAGCTTCTAACATATCAGTACAGTGTACAGTGAGTGCCTTTTTTGAAGCAAAGGTGTATAGATATGCCCAGAATTGATGTTCTAAACGGGCTGCCGCGCATAAAATAGTAACTGTTGTATTTGTAGAGATTTGAAAAATTTCAGAATTGGCATAGTCTGTTTAATTTCATAATTTAACATTATTCAAAGAAATTCAATGAATATATACTAAAATTTGTGTTGGTGCATTTTCATAAATTGATTTACAGATGATTTCAGAACCTTTTTTGATTCAATTTGGTTTCAACTGTGGGGCTGATCACTTATCCTTCTTCTATTCTTTTGTGTCGGTGGGATGATGTAGCGATAGTGAAAATTGAAGAGTCTTGCTGTATACTGCACGATTACCTTACCGGTAATAGTAGTACAAGTGTGCAGCAATACTCTTTTAGATCAGGGGTGGGCAGGGTTTTTGAACCGAGGGCCAAAAATTTTGCCCGTCTAGACTGGCGGCCGGCGGGCCATGTGATGTGAGTGTGACATAAAAAATGACATTTTGTGAACAATATTTACAGCGTTACAAAGCAAAGATGAAAAACAATATGCTTCGTGTCATAACTAAATTTAACCGCAATCGCAAGAAATTCCTCGAGCTATTTTAAGCTAAAATATCAAAATTTGATTTCAGTTTTGTTGTGGCAGCATCAGGCGGGCCAGATTGAGTTACCCTATTGGCCGGATTTGGCCCACGGGCCATACTTTGCCCATGTCTGTTTTAGATTCTCTTTTGAATACTTTATTTTGTTTCATTACTTTATTATTTTCATTACACCTAATCTATTATTTCTGATTAAAATATCTCCCAGTATAGATTGCATTCTAAATATATTTTTAGTCATACATTGTATGTGCAATTGTCGTGTGAGTAATCTGACTAATGTGCATGTGAAGCTATCTATAATGAAGCTACGTCTAATGTTCCAGTGACTCATGAATTTAATTAATTATTAAAATTTTAGTCATACCATGTAATTTCAAGGTCTCGGTTTAACACTTCCTATCTGCCTTATCAATAATTGGCTGAAAAGGATTATCTGTGATTTTGATAGAGGATTGTAATTCATCTGCTGCGGTTCTATGCCCTGGTAGTTAAAGCGTTATACTTAACTATGCTGACATCGCAGATTAAAATATCACCACCACTTCACCCAGGGTTGGGCGTATCCAGTAATTTTCAAGGGGGGGAAATTTCATGTTGCCATGTTAGGCCGTAACTACTAGTGGACCGGGAGACGTGGGTTTCAAGATTCTTGGGGGTTTGTCTATAAAGCGTTTCAAAATATGGAAAGTTGCTATGTATGATCTCAATATACCGTATTTTCCGGCGAATAAGTCGCTTTTCTAGACCCAAATTTTTGGCCTGATTTTGGGGGAGGTCGTCTTATTAGGCGAGTATGATCATTTTCATTTTTTTGTCGCCTTATTATTGAATCCCGACAATAAAATACCTTCGGCGATAGCATCCCCCACATCCTCATCAGGTTAGTTTAAATAAATCGACATTCTCGTGCTGTGAATCTGAAATTTAAATGCTGTGATTATCATATTTGCATAATCATATATGGATTGGATATTACGCTACAAAAAAAAGTCATAGGCTATTTCAACCAATGCGCAAACGCGGCGACCGCTCGAAAGGCATTGCATGGTAGTTTGAGATTCCCGACGTTGATGCGATTTTACTACCCCGACTTATTGGCCGGTTATATGCAAAAACCCATTTTTCATGCTCAAAAACAGGCCTCGTCTTATTCGCCGGGTAGACTTATTCGCCGGAAAATACGGTATATGATACATTTCAAACGGTGGTTTCTACCCCCTTGGCGTCGCTCCTGCCCAGGGTGTATTAGATTAGATAACCAATGCCAAACCAGAAATATTCCAGTCCTTTCAAAAATTAAAGTATCGTAATACTAATACTATACATATCAGTGGCTTATTGTAAAGAGCCTTGTTCAGAGCGAAAAGATTATAAATAAGTTGTTTAAAAATCTTTAGTGATTTTATATTTGTGGATAAAAGCAGAATCGAAATCAACGCAATACATTTTATTTTCGAGTATTTTATATGTTATTGTTTAGTTGATCAGTTATTTGACGGTACATCTAAATTATTTCACATTCAATGATAAAGAAAAAAATTTGTGTATTTGCATATTATGTTCAATCTAATTATCAATTTTTACTTTTATCTACTGCAACAAAAGTTATTTCTTTTAGATTTTTAGAAACGAAACTTAGTGCAACACAATTAGAAGTATTGTATATTTTCTTGATTTTTCAAAGACCGAGTTAAATTAAAAATAATAATAAATTGAACAAAAACGAAACGAACAAAACAAAATATTCATTT